TAGAAAAACATCAAGTTAGTTTTCCATAAGGTAAGTTTGACATTTAACGTAAGTCTAACAAAAAAAAAATCCCAATACATTATTGAAAATCTAAAAGCAATGAGGGTCAGCAAAACTACTAAAGTTGACAACAGCTGTGTTAGGTCTGTATAGTCTACATATCAAAATTTAATAATAAAAGGAGGGGTGATGACAAATATTATTATGCAAACTTGTTAACAGTGTAACTAGCTATTGATATGTTCAGAAATTAGTTATTACTTACATCTTATTGAATAATGTTTTCAAAACTATGGTGTAGCAAAACAAACTGTTTTTATTGCCAATAAAATGAAAGTTTATGTTGCCTGTCAATTACTGAAGTGAAATGCATTAAATCAAAGAATCATACTGAATTATGGAAATGGGATCTTTACACACATTTGTAGAAGTTACTGGAAGTAGTAGATAATAATAGTAATGAGAGAATAATAATAATAACTCTAGATCAATAAGGACCTTTTTAAACATGTTATTACATACTTTCTGAAAGTCCATAAAAAACTTGAAGAATAAAATTAATAATTACCTAAGATTTTCAGAGAACAACTGAGTTTTCATAATGGAAGTATGATAAAAGAGATAAAGAAAGTATTTTTTAAAGTCACAGTTAATCATCATTTAAAAATAAAAGTTTCATGGGTGATAAATTTATCTGTACACCAAACCCCTGTGACATACAATTTAGCCATGTAACAAAACTGTACATGTATCCCTTGAAACTAAATAAGAGTTGGAAAGAAAAAAAAGATAATATGGAATATATTTAAAAAAAAAAAAAAAGAGAGCTTTGTTACCATGTTGACCGGATTTTGACTCCAGTTCCACTAGAGTTTGTGACCTTTGGCATGTTATTTAATTTCTCTAAGCCTCAGTTTTGGTGCCCGTAAAATGGGGATAATAAATATGTATGTTGCAGTATTGTTTTGAGAATTGAAGATAATATCTGCAAAAATAAATAAAATATAAAGTTTCAAAAGTCAGAAAAATAAAATGTAATTAAAATATTTTCCTCAAATTCATTCTTATTATTCCAACAATCTTACATATCCACTTCATTTCTCTTCTACTTCCATTATGGAGCTTTTTCAAGACTTGAAACATAGAGTTAGATCGATGAATGCACTGCTTACTTAGTGGCTCACACTATCAGTAAATAGCAAACAAAACATGACCACACTCTTACTGGGGTACAGTTGCAAGAATGCAGCAGACATATACTTCTCACTGGAGTTTCTAAATACTTATTACTGGCTCTTAAAAGAAGTATATATTGTATTTAAGAAAAAGCTATCCAAATATTTCACATTTTTTTAACTAGGAAGAAAATTTTTAGCATAGCTAATTATTTTTCTTTTCTTTCTTTCTTCTTTCTTTCCTCTTTCTTTCCCTTTCTTTCTTTCTTTCTTTCTTTCTTTCTTTCTTTCTTTCTTTCTTTCTTTCTTTTCTTTCTTCTTCTTCTTTTTTTTTTTTTTGAGACGGAGTTTCACTCTTGTTACCCAGGCTGGAGTGCAATGGCGCGATCTCGGCTTACCGCAACCTCCGCCTCCTGGGTTCAGGCAATTCTCCTGCCTCAGCCTCCTGAGTAGCCGGGATTACAGGCACACGCCACCATGCCCAGCTAATTTTTTGTATTTTTAGTAGAGATGGGGTTTCACCATGTTGACCAGGATGGTCTTGATCTCTTGACCTCGGCCTCCCAAAGTGCTGAGATTACAGGCGTGAGCCACCATGCCTGGCCCACTAATTATTTTTCTAATTAACTATTTTTATATTCTGAAGACATTGTTTGTATTATTATAGTAGCTCTTTTAACCATTTGACTTTCACACAAATTAGAGAAAATAAACCAACTATCATTTGTTAAAATTTTAACACATCTGTTATGGCTAAGAATATACGTGTCTTTATAATGGTATGTTTGGAAATTTTCCCCTTTGTATATATACCACCACAGTATGGCTATTTGATGCAAGTTACGAAAAAAATCAGGGTGCTACTTGACTGTTTATGACCATGAAAAAAATGAATGTAAAAAAATAATTGTTAATCTTAAATGATGAAAACTTATTCATTTAAATGTTCTTGGATAGACCACATACTCAAGACAGAATTCCAAATAGGACTTTTTTTATGTCAAGACTGAGACAGATGCTGCAAAATTAATTTAGTAATCCAAGACTGTAAAAATGCCCATATTTTAGCATCCCATAGAAAGTTCTAGAAAATGTAACCGGTTGTTTTCAGTTAGTGATTATTTGTCACAATTTAGATAGTAAAATGTTTGAGGTCAGCTAGTGATCCAATGCCAATTTAATTTGTGGATCTTCTTTCTCTCAGTCCCTACCTTTAGCTTGGGAACCTTCTCTCCTTGCAAAATAGACACTTTTTCCCCCATATCCCCACCCCCACCCCACTCTCTCAGTAAGCAGTAGAAAAAATCTGCACAATTAAATTGATCTAAATCCCTATGGGTTGCTTGACGAAGAAAAAAAATATATATATATTTTTTTCCCATGAGAAGCCAGTAGGCGGTGCTAAATGTAGGATACTACCTTCAACAATTTTTAACCGAAAACTAAACAGGTGGCCTGTTTAAGAGTTGTAGAATTTCCAGTATTATTCATACAGGAAGAAATCTGAAGGACTTGAATGTAATAGACAGAAATGTAATACAAGTATACAGTATAATTAAAAATGAATCTTAAATGAAAGCACAGATAACTAAAGGTTCTTAGAATGATATTAAGTTACAGAAATCAAAGCACAACTACCTCTCTATCCTCACATTAAAATTATTTTTGTTCCCATTTGAAACCATTTGATATCAAATGATTTCAATCTCATTGAGAAATATATAGTACAGCCAGTGCTTTGCTCAATCTTAAGGCAGAAACTACCTCAACATTAGGGCAGCAATTGATTCTCTTAATGAAAATGCAGGTTCAATGACTCAAGTTATTTCTTGCTTGCTTGCTCTGTCTCTTTCTCTCTCTCTTAAAAGAACGAAATGACTTACAATACATAAAATATACCAAATATACACATAAATTATCTTGCATTTTTAATAAATGAGCATTTATATGTACATACCTTGTTATAATTAAAATGATTTTTAAAATCTCAGAATGTTGCAAATAGCTTTTTAATGTTTTATGTTAGCAGTTTGAACCATATGAAAAACTATATTTTATTAATTAGCTCACTATACAAAATAAGAAAATACTAATTTCAGGCTGAGTGCCATCATATTGACTTCAAATCTTAGAAGAACACACATCAAGATATCAAATATAGTGTCCACAAATAGCGACATAAACTATCTTCTTTATGTAAATGCAACAGGATTTCCTTCATAGGGAAAAGCTACTCTAGAACAAAATAACTCACAATGAAGTGTCCAAAGGCTTTTGAGATACTTGCATTCATTATGAATAAAAAATACAGAGTTTTCCAGATATAATAGTAACTTTTAATCTTCTACAGAAAAATGGCCCTTTGCACTGCTTACTTTTCTACTACAAAGAGTAAAAAATAAGGCATAAAACTTTTCATTCCACAAACTGAGGTTAAACACAGTGAAATATTGCTTGAAAAAGCCTGTGTACTTTGTCCTAGGCCTCTCTGTATGTTGGAGTTAGTTTGTATTTTTGTAGTTACCTAGAAGAAAACTTCATCTGAGAGGTAAAAAATTGTTTTATCTGCCTTATGTTTATTTTACAGCATTCAAAATATATGCACATAATAATTTAAAGCTAAACTTTTCATTTAAGGGGAGAAAAGGTAAGAAAATAAAAGCTTCAAAATCAAATTATTTAAATAATGGTGACTCTCCAGATTTTCAGATGTATGCCTTTATGAAATTTATTTGGACAAAAAAATTTCCAGCAGATTCTGTCACAGTGTTAAATACAGAAAAACCTTTTTATTGCTCGCTGGTACATATCTGAAAAGTAATGCTAAATTATTCTGAAAATATGTAACAGAATAATCATAAAATATCATAGACTACATTCAACACTGAGGACTTCAGTGCTACCAACACACGAAATCATCACCTTTGTCACCTGTACACAGTTCTCAGGGGAAAACCTTTAAAGTCGGTATAAGGCGGTTAAAAAGAGGGAAAACTCTGCCCCTTTAAAATTTAAACAAAAGGCGTTTTTATCCCTTGAAGGTGTAGGGTCATTAATGCAAACTAACAGCTTAGTACTCAATATTAAACCCAAGTCACCATCATATAAGAAAACTATTTCCCCATCCCCTGGAAGACGACACCAGCAGGCACTTAAAACCAACGCAAAGCAACAGGGAAAGGAAAGATCCAAAAACAGCACCACTAAGAAAGCAAAGCCCTTTGGAAAAGCAAAATAGGCTGGGAAAGACCTACTGCGTCGTTTACTCATTGCGAGGAGGAGGAGCAGGAGTTGAGCGTGCTGGGGCTGGTGCCATCCTCAAGGCTCTGGAAATGTCTCGAGCTCCGGCCCGCGTGGCCTGGAGCCAGCCCCTCCGTAAGAAGCGGTCTCTGCCGCTTCTCCCCCGCTCTCCCGGGTGCTCTGAGGGTCCCCTTTAGCAGACGGCCCGCACCACGTACAGGGCCCTCGTCCCTCCTGCTGTGCAAGTGGCCCTCGGAGAACTTACATGGCCCGCCGGCCGGCGCCGCCCGCAGCGCAGACGCCACCCGTCGGGAGACGACCTGGGCGCAGCTCACAGTAGGGTGTGCGGGGGTCCGTATTTTGGGCACATCTAGAAAACGACCCTGAGGCAAGGAACAGACTTTGGTTTTCCCTGGCTCCCGGCGCGGCTCTCCCCACCTCAGGCTCCGACACTGCCCGGAGATGCGCGCGCGCAAACACACACACACACACATACTCTCTCTCTCACACACACTCACGCATTTCTTTGCTAGGACCAGTGTTGCCATTGCACACCCGGGAAACGCCTCCAAGGGGACCAAGTACCTGCTCTCTGCGAGCTGCTCAGCTGTTCACTTCATCCTCCGTTGACAAGGAAACCAAACCGCACTTCATTTTTTTTTTTTTTTCCATAAAAACCTTCCACTGCCATCATTTGGAAAATTGATTTACGGGGAGGGGAGAGGGAGAAATAAGGGATAATATAGATATAGATATCAGGATATCTATCATAAAATTATCTCGGTTTTTTAAAAAAGTCAAATGTGCAAAAGTCATAGTTAATTTAGAGGAAGAAAAAAGTATTTTGCTTAAAAATGATCCCAGTCACCAGCTGTAAGAAAAGTTTCATGTTATCAATGGGTATCAAAAACAGGAAGAAAAAAACGAATTTGTTTTCACCGGCTTCCAAAAAGGGCACAAAAATATAAAATTAATGTCTTTGCTCAGTGGTTTGCACCAGTATTGCAAGACCACAAACTTGTAAACACTGCAGTAAAATCCCACCTATACAAAAAATGTTATCAGAAAAAGAGTATGCAAAAAAAGAGTTAGAAACATGCTTTTTATTTTTACAGAGGAAAAAAATAGGCACCATACTTCACATCGCTTTTTCCATAAAACCAGTTGCACATTTTGCTGGACTTGGGAGACGCTCCCAGCGGGCACGGTCGCCGCGGACTCCCAGACACAGCGCCTTGTCTACAGAACGATCGCATGCTAGAAAAACTTGGATTCAGGAAAAGGCTCAAAACCATGCTCCTCCAGCTTTCCCAAATATAAACAATAATCAAAGAAGTGGAAAAAAAGAAAAAAACAAAAAACAAAAAAAAAGGACAAAAAAAAAGAATAGGACAAGAATGCCACTGAGAAGGTACTCACCGAGCGGGAGTAAAATGTTGGAATAAAAATGAGATTTAGTATAAAATACAGTATGGCGGTGGAAGAAGGAATGAAGAGCGTTTTTTTCTCGCAGTCTCTGCCTCAGGCACTGACACGTGACTCGGAGCCAGGCTGACTTGCAGGCAGCGGGGAAGGACCGAGGCTGCGAGGGGGGAAGCCCACGGAGCCCAACACTGGCTGTCGAGGAGGCGGCGGCGGCGGCGGCGGCGGCAGCGGCGGTGGCGGCGGAGTCCGGCGCCTGCGAGCGGCAGCACCAGTGGCGGCAGCAGTGGCAGCGGCGAGGCTGCCTTCGCTGTGAGCCCAGACGAGCAGGTGCCCCTCACGCTGAGGCTGAGCACACGCACACGCACACGCAAGACAGGCAGGGCGCCGGCGAGAGGGGGAGCGGAGCGGGGTTGGGCCGGAGGCGCGCAGCTGCCGCCGCCTCTGCCGCCGCTGCCTCTGTTGCTGCCGCCGCCGCCTCGGAATGGGAGTGTGTGCGGTGGGGACGTCTCAGGGGTGCTGATCCAGCGCCTTGAGAGGAGGTGCACAACTTGCTGCTCACCTCGGAGTTGTTGCTTGCCACTTCCTTGTGTATTTCATGTATTTTTCATCTCAAGGTAGTTACCTGGGGATAGATACCATCCTTTTCTCCGTGGAAGTTTTACTATTCGAGCCCAAATTCACTCATTCATTTTTCCCCCCTGATTTTCCATTCCCATTCCCTCCCAAGCTGTCTTTGCCTCTGCTGTTCCCTCCTCCCTGGATCTGTGTTTCCCCTCCCGGTTCTCAGGGAACCTGGCTCCGCGCGATGCTGGGGGCGTTGTCACGGGCAAAGCCACCGTCAATCTTTACTGCCATCTGAACGCACTGCTCTCGTTCCCCGTCTTCAAGGAGGAATGCTTGCAGTTTGAAAGACACAACAACACCTCTTATTTAGGAACCCCCGGGTTTCTTTCTGCGGGTTTCGGAGCGGTGGGTGGGGGCGTGGGTGTCTTTAATTTATTCATTCGTGGACCAGGCATTGTTTGTTTTGTCTGAGTGTGCGCGGGTGCTTCTGAGCTGGTCTGGAAAGCTCCGAGGGTCTGTGCTCCATAGCAGAGACTCCTGTATGACTCTTGCTCAAGTTGTTGGCTGAGGCTGGAAGTCAAAGGAGAGGTTCAAGGGAAACAAGTGAGTCCATTGTGTGAGTGCTCGCCTGGAGGGAGCAAGCACTTGGCGGTCGAGAGGGGGAGACGTGTACCAGCAGTGAGGCAGCGCGCACCCCGCGGGAGCCCAGGTAGCTGAGCAGTGGATTCTGAAGGTGAGGGTGAGAGAGGGATTTCTCCACCCAGCATCTGGGTTAGGGCGCTCATGGATCGCCTGAACAAAGATGCCATCAGCCAATCGCTGGATGCATTGGGCTTCTATTACTGCCTGTTGGAGAATCAGTTTTGTGGATGCTGGAACGCATCTATTTTTCTTCATTTTTGTACAATACTCACATCAGGACCATTTCCCTGTGCTGCTTTGAATCTAGGTTGTGTGGAATTAATTGGCATCTCTATGTTTGAGAATGAGCAATTAACACAGTTCTGCAGTTCACAGATTCCTGCTCCCAATCTTTATCTCAATGTTTCCAATGCTGACGTTTCAGATAAAATGCCTCCATCAGTGATGATCTAACCTCGACAATCTGAAAATTAAGTACACATCTCTTACACAGAGCTTCAGTAGCAAATATGGTTCTCAAACATTGTGCTCAGAATTCATTGGCCAAATAAAGTTTTAATCTGCAATTTAAATAAAAGAGATTTAAAATAGCCATTAAAATATCATTAAATATTTATTTTGGTGCGTTGCCAACGGTACACCCACTTATTATACATACTTTCCAGGGAGGATTGTTGATTAGAAATACTGACTGAGAGAGATGAATACATCAAAGTGGATTTGGTAACTTTGGGAGCCTTCAGTTCTGTACAGAAATCAGAGGATTTTAAGATGGCTAATACAGATCAAATATTGTGCTTTCACTGTAAAACACGTTGGACTTTTTTTTTTTTTAAGTAAGATCTCTTTCCACGTAATCTTTTTCTTCCATAACGCCTGAATTAATTTTATCTAGGATTTAAACCTTAGTTTGTTAAATTTTCCACATTTTCTCTTCCATTTGAAAATATAAGATTCTAAATATTTAAAAAGAAAATATTATTTTAATGCATATCTTTTCTGTTATTCGTATCATAATGGTATTCAAATGTGAAAAACTTCACATTAAAAATGAGTTTTGAACCTTTCAACCAGGCTGGGCAATGTCTGGATCTTAAAGAGTTATTCAAGAAGAACTTTGAAAAACAAGCTGTTTAGAATTGCACTGCAGTAATGGCTGTCAGCCAATCACAGTGATTGTCAGACTTTTATTATTCAATAAAATGACTCCCCTTTATGTTAAATGCAGCTCTGCTAAAGAAAAGCAAGATATCAATATCCTCCTTGCACTTTCCCCATTTACTTATATAATCACAGTAGAGTACTCAAAATATTCCACTATCGTTTATTTCCAATATGCCAGTCTCATCTTTTTGGGTCGTAACACTGCATCATAAACAAGAGTAAACAGTCAGGTTGAGGCAGCTGGTATTTAGAAAGTATAACCACTCATTTAATTTTTATGACAGCTCTAAGACATTGACATTATACTCATTTTAACGATTACAAAAATAAAGTCAAAATTTTTCAGTAATTTGCACAAGATTCTATTATTAGTACATAGAAAAAAAGGATTGAACCATAATTATATCTGGTTTTACAGCTAGAATTTAAAAATCCAAAAAATACATCAAAGATACTGGGTACTTCTGTGTACTGTCATCAAAATCAATTAACAAAGGCATGATTTTCTCAAATGCAGTAGATCTAAAATAAATTGGTGAGAATAAATTTAGTTCTATTATTGCCACAAATAACAATTGTAGTACACATATTTATATTCACTTTTTTGAGTCTATAAAATAAATGAAGAAAATAAACAATATGCAGAGGCAAGGGGGTTAAATTTTTCTTGACAAAAATTCTTTACAAAAGATGTGGTCATGTTATCCTGATTATGTCCTCAGGAGTTAACTATAGAGACTTTTTCAAACAAAGATTGCATGTAAACTGTTCCTGCTGACGTCCATTCCAAACTAAGCCATGCTATAATTGAAAAGTATACTCAATGTAAGATAAAACAAATAAATGAGGGTAACTGAGGAAAAAAATCTATTTTAAAATATATGCTATGTAATCTCAATGTTTGTTTCTATTAGAAAACATGGAAGAAATATGAATAATAATGACATATATATAAACATATACATATATTTTATAAATATAATCATAACTGTATATATAATATAAATTAGATTATAATACCATGATTTAAATGCATACTTTTATATTTAGGACCCTCAAATCATTTTCTTTTATTTGCTTGCTAATTTTTTTTATAACTTTAATTTTTACTTTTGATTAATATTTTTCATTGTTCTATCTCTGCCCATGGATATACTTCACTGATACTACTCTTTCAAAGTCTGATTGTACTTTTTTTTATATTTTTGTTTGGAGAAACTACATATACCAACACATATGAAATAATGTGTACAAATAACCAAAGAAAATACATGAAAATAAATATTAACATTATAATAATGTCACAAGTAAAATAAAGCAAGAAGCATGATGACAATTTCTCTGTAATTTAATTTTAACATATTTTTAACTATCCCTTATATATTTTTTAACTTTTATTTTAAGTTCAGGGGTACAAGTGCAGGTTTGTTACAGAGGTAAACTTGTATCATGGAGGTTTGTTGTCACAGATTATTTCATCACCCAGGTATCAACGTAGTAGCCATTAGTTATTTTTCCTGATCCTCTCTCTCCTCCTACCCTCCATCCTCCAAAGGCCTCAGTGTTTTATTTCACTTGTCACATAATATATTTATGGAATTCAAAAAATTCTGATATGTAGACTAAAATACATAATACATCAAGGTTTATTATGAGTTACATACACTCATTTATTTCCATATTAAATTAATAAAATGTCTATTCTCAAAATTAATGTACAACAAATTAACATCTAATAGTATTATTGTGTAAATATGTTTATTTTGAATTAAATACATGGAGTGTAGTTCTATGACACAGTAGCCTGCTATGGTGACGGGGTCTGTACAAAAGGAATCAGTGATGTTCCTTGTAAATATACTTGAGGCACAGAGAGAAAAAAAGTACAAGACATGTTTAGGGTTCTGCATCATTTGCTCTTATTCACTGATTACTGATCTGATAATAATCCATTCAAAAGAGAGTTTAAAATGTCACTTTATAAATTTAGCAGCTGTGAATTCATCCAAGACACTTCTTTAGGTTTTAGGAGCTAAAGATATAAATACTGCAATTCTGGAGCCAAAAATAGGCATCTGAAAAGGTCCTACAGGTTAAAAAATATTGTTAATTTAAACATACATAGAGGAAGTAAGGATACAAAGGAGAGAAGGAGAGAGAAAGGAAAATTGTAAAACCAAGAGCACTGGGGGCCTGGAAAATCTCAAAACTAATACTTGAGAAACGTACAGCAATTGCAAACACCAGACAGATTTAGGTCATACAGATGAGTCCTAAAAGACATGTGGCAAAAGCACATTAGAAAAATATTGCAGACTTTACAGTATGTTTTTGCTTAAAACCTCCAGGAAACAATCTTGCTGAGGTTAACAAAACTCTAAATCAGAAGAAGTAACATTTTTTAAAAAAGAGAGAGAAAAAAACAAAAAGAGGTATTGTTATATCTAAAAATCGAGATTTCTTGATCCAAATGGCCTGACTGATCTCACTGCAAAGTAATTTTAAGTAGAAGGATCTTGAAGATGTACAGAGAAAACTGTTACTTTACTGTCCACCCACAAGATTTTAAAGTATGAAGCTGTTCCTTTGTATACCACGATATACAGTCATCTCTAGATATGGTAGACTGGTACCTCAAATACCAAAATCTTGGATTCTCAAGTTTTAAAATGACAGTTTATTTGCATATAGCTTATGCACTTCCTCATACATCTCTAGATTACTTATAATGCTTAGTGCAATGTTAATGCTATGTGAATAGTCGTCACACTATGTTGCTTTTAAATTTGTATTTTTAATTGTTTCATTTTTTTTTAAAAATATTTTCAATTCATGGTTGATTGAATCTGTGAGGATTCAGAACCAACAGGTACAGAGAGATGAAGTTATTATTCTGTTTTCTTTTTCATTTGTTTACACATTTGTTTTTTATTTGTTTAATTGTTAACTTATTTTTTAAAACCTCAGGTTTAGAGATTATGTGGATTTTCAGTACAATATTAATGTAATTAAACTCTGGAATTTTTTTTTTGAGTTGAGCGTCATTCATTTGTTCTTTGTTTAAAGATTATAGCAACCAAGAGA